TGTTTTAATTAGCAAGGCTTCGGTTGTTTTCCTTTTGTTTATATTAGGTTTGTGTTTTAATGTGGAGACTTTGTGTTCTGAAAATGTGTGAGGATTGGATTACATATGGTAATTTACATGTGAAGGTTTTTTTGTGTTCATTTATTGGTGTGTTTAAACATCCAACTTCACCTATATAGAAATCAGAACAGTTATTACATTGTATTTTGTATATGATTCCTGGCTGTGAAGGTTCAAATATATTTTTCTTAGCACATGTTTCATTTTTGTTCCTGGGGTGAAAATGAAAGTAGAATGGATATTTATGTTGTTTTTGTATATTAATCTTTGCCATACCTCTTTAAGGGGAGTGCTTGGTTTATCAATGAATAGAATTATGCCAATGATTATTTTATTAGGTTGTTTTTTTTGTATTGTCTTCCAATATGGTACATAACCTTGTCTCACATGTATAGTTATTCTCCTTCAGTCCTGCCCTCTATATGCAAAAAATTGTTTGCATACTACAAGTATTGAACTCCCATGTACCCCACTATGAATGTGGTTCAACTGCATCTCTCATTTAAATCATCATGTGAGAACCTTCCACCTAGAGGAGTGCAACACACCATGCATGTGACTCCCTCTATTTGATTCTACCAAACTGTCACTCCTCGTTAGGCAGTGATTGAGTGCAGATGTTCTTAATTTATGTTCTTTTCACATGTTCATTTAATTTTTTTTTTTGCCAAGTTGTAATTTACTTGATTTATTCCTTTGTTGCAGTTAGTTTTTCTGTAGAAGTTTACCGTGATAACTTACATTTGTTTATTGATTTTTTTTTCTCTAATTAGATTCTTTATGGTTTATAATGAATTATGAAGTTTGTGTTTTCCTAGTTCTGATATTATTACTGCTACTTTGAGTGCCATTACTGGCTTCAGGTCTGGGGGTCTTGACTGAGGATTTTTTGGCTCTCATTTGTCGAGAGGTGGATTGTTATATGAGGCATCCTTTTTGTCTTGACAGTGTTTGTATTCCTCCTGCATTGTCCAAACCTGGACAAGGAGGATTTTGACAGTTTCTTTTCCTCCTCCCAACTATGCCATGCCTTCCCATGCATCTCCTATGAGATCTACAAGGTCTAACTCTGCCTTTTTGGATATATTTACTCAGGTATGATTTGTTTTTCTCATTTTCACCTTTTTTCAGATGATACTGTTCCTTCCTTTTTGTATATGACACCCATCATTAGGCTCCCTTGTCTCCCCTTCTTTCCCTGACATCAGGGTTAATGCTGAGCATTTTGTTTCTCAGTTGAGGATGAGTGTTAGCATGCCTCGTCCTCTATGGGCTTCTGATCTTTGTGTTTTGGTTTATCAGCAAGCTAATCAATCCTTTCTCGACTTCCAGCAGTTGAAGTCACTTTTGCCAGTGTGGGGGGCTATCCCTTATAATCCTATCCATTTTCCCACCTTTGTCTTACCTTTCAGTTCTCCTGCAGTACTTTTGTCCAACATACTCCTCCTTTCTGAGGCACTCCACCGATCCCTTGGGGGATACACTTTCCCTCCTTCCTCCTCCTTGGTGCTATTGTCCTTTTCAGCCCTATCCCTTCATACATGGTTTTGTTGCTGTTGGGATCATATTGGGAAGGATGCTGTCTTTTTACAGGTTCATCTACCTTTCCCTTATCTTCATGACTTCTGGATGGCTCCTTTTCTCCATGGGTTTGTTTTGGGAGATTTTCTGGAGTCTTTCAAATCACATGTGGACTCTGTGAGTCCACATTAGACCTTTTAGTCTTTGGTTACTTGTTTTTATCATTCTGATACCATGACCTCTCTCATAACTGATTCTCACCCTGCAGCTTTCTGTCCTTTACCATTTCCTACCACTAGGATTCCAACATTTTTTCACTGTGTGTCTTGAAGTATGGTTCTTTGTTGCCAGCAGTTCCAGTAACTTTCAGGTGGTTTCTGGTTCAGTGGGGGCACATTTGGCTGATTTTGTTTGCCTGTGGTGGTTATTCACTACCTTTTTCTTTCCCCTCCACCTTTGTCTCCTTTACTGATTTCCTTCCCATTAACTCAGGATCCAGCTACCTGTCTGAGTCTATCCAAGGTTGTGCTGACCCTTCTATCACAGAAAGTTATCCATCTTGTCAGCCAACCTTCTCCAGGATTTTACTTCAGGTTTTTTGTCTTGTGATTCATCTGTCCTGCCTCAACCAACTTATGGTTCTTCTCCAATTTCCCATGGAGTCCTTTATCACACTCCTATCTCCATATTAATATTTCTCATCAGTTTGGATGCTATCTTTGGTTTGTCCACTACGGGGTTGTGTATCAGAGTTCTGACTGGTCTTTTGGGCTTGCTTCAGCATCATATGCATTTTATTAGATGGTCATGGCTTTTGCCCAACTTCTGCATGCTCTAGGGTTGTGTTTAGACCACTAAATGTCTTCTGAACACACACAACTGCTGCTGCTGCAGCTTATATTGGTTGTATTCTACAGTTGATGAAGTTTCCTTTTTCCTACCCACTATCTTATCCCTTGGATGTATTTTTCAACACCCCCCTCATTCAGGCCTATCTTTCTTCACTTCTCTGTTCATTAGTGCTTTCAGTTCTCCATGCATTAAAACACCTAATCTCCAAATTATTAGACATCTAGGCACATCTTTTTGTTTTTTGACCTTTGTAAGTTAACTTATGAGACTTGCACCTTAAAGTAATAAATGCATCCCTTGTATTAAGTCTCCTGTAATCATTTTAGTATATGATGAATTGTTTAAAGATTGCACATTTTTCACTTTTAATTTTACACACACACATACCTTGTATATATTGCTTTTAGTATTGTAACAATATTCCAATTTAATTTATTCTGTGTTCATACTTGAAAATGGCCACACGAGTGCTTCAAGCAGTGCACTTATTCTAATATAAACAAATCTTCCAACTACCCAGCATAAAATGTCAACAAATTTGAATTCTCAACCATTGTACTCTGTGTCATGATTTTTAGCTTAATATTTTAAATGTCCTTTACCCATCACTTACATTTGACCAAAACACCACTCAGTACATTGCACATATATAAACAAAAAACAGGTGCCATGGAAATAGACTACACTGTAATATGTATTTTATATGAATATAGCTTAATGTTTTTGTTTCTTTTTCAGTTCTAACAAAATTACAGTTAGAATATTTATCATAGTTGAAAGTAGGGTTTCTTTGTGTTTAAGTGTTTAACACATTTTAGATACTAAAGTAAAGCTGTTTTTAAATGTTAAAAGTTGTCTAAACATCATTTTGAAAGGTGAGTAAAATGAAACAATTCATGTCACCCATAATGTTAATTCTTAAACTATTAGGATTATTGTTTATTAACTAAAGTTAAGTAAATATAAAATGCTAGTTAATCATAGCTTAATGATTTAGCTAAAAATTGATTTGGTACACAAGTGGATTTCATCTAATCATGAGTTGTTAATGGCACCAACCAAAGCAATTAATGTTATGTAAGTTTTTCTAAACAGTTTTATGTTCAATGCCCTTGAAAGTATTAAATAACATGAGAATATTTTCAGTTTTTGTTTAATCTAGAGAAAATGTAAATACTTCAACTTTTAATTTTGCTTTTGAGTTTATATTAGTTTAAAGATTTTTTTTTTATTATTAAAAGGTAATTTTCCTCCTAGTTAAAACTGAAAACTCAGAACATGTCAGAAACAGTGTAAAGGAGCAGTTGTAATGAAAATAAATCATGCATTTAATAAACTGTATATTGTATTGTAGCAAATCATGTTTACTTCCCATCCTCAAGTTCATAAACTGTAGTTGCTTTCTATTGTAACAAGACATGAGCAAAGTCAGTCTCTTTAACTTTTCAACTAGAATACTACTAGCTTATACTACAACTATTTACATTTACTGTGTACTCTAGCACTGTACATTGGATAAACATCTACCACAACTGTTACTTTTTGTATAACATATTAACATAGCATGACTGTGTGCTCTAGCATTTTTTAATTTAAATATCTACATATCCTGTTTCTGCTTAATCTAGAATTTTGTGTAGTATACCATGACTATGACTGTCAAATCTAGCTGTTATGTAGAATAAACTTGTATCATGAAATTTCTGTGTAGTTTTAAATTTAGAGAATTACTGTATTAGGTATGATGACTCAATCTGTCATACAAAATACTCATATCACATACAATGACTGTACTCAAACTATCCATGTAGAATATTCCTGTGTCATAATTAACTACTATATCTTTCAGGTAGAATATCTCTATATCATGACTTTATTTTACATAAATATTTAAGAAAATAAACTTGTATAACATTAATGTATTTTGAGGTATTTTGTGTTATATGGAACTGTACTATAACATTTTATTTTTCATTTATTTCATAGAGTAAAATATTTTATAGAAAATACAATTTTGAATGTCTTATTGTGTGTAGCCCTTATATGTAAGTATCCTCTTGAAGGGAAGTTGTCTTTGATGAATTAATATAGTTTTTTCATAGATAATTCTGAGGATTTTAGAGCTCAGGTTTTGGCCTTACAATAAACATGATTAATTTTCTAACTTTCTTTTGATACAGTATTTATGTAACAGTATTTATGTGCTTAGTTTTTTAACCCAAAATAGCATAATGCATTGAAGAAACTTCTATGAAAAAAGTCATAGTGTTTTCAAATTAAAATACAGTCAGGCCTGATTTTTAAAGGTCTATTCAGAAGATGCCAATTTTGTATTAGGTCATAATTTTAAAGCTTTATGATTTCATTATATAAATCATCTTGTAAGAAGTTACTGTAGATTATTATGGAAAGAAATATATTGTTTAACTTACCGTGAATCAGTTTCAACTTCATGTATTTTGTAAATATATTTATGTTCGTAAAACACATCAGCTGATTTTTATGAAAAGTATATATATGTACTTCTATATACATATATAAATATGTATATACTTTACATATGATAGGGGACCTGGCCCAGGTAGAAAAAGAAATAAAGCGTTGCTTAATAGAGACTTTCAAGAAGACAGATGAAGAATTCCTTAAAGAAGCTTCAAAACACAAGCCCTCGTGGAAAGATGGTACCACAGCTATTACTGTTTTAGCTATCAACAACACTTTGTACATAGCCAATCTTGGTGATAGCAAGGTAAACTGTCTCGGTCTTTAATAACATTGCACACTTTATATTTACATTTGACATCTTAATTGCTTATACAGATAGGATGAAATCTTTATCTATCTATCTAAGCTGTGGTCATCCCTTGTTGGATATGGCTTTCCATCAGAACAGTCCAGTATTTCATATTTATAACATACCATGTCCATTTGATTCCTGCTTCCATCACTATATTATCTCTTCATCTTCTCTTTTGCCTTCCCTTAAGTCTTTTCCCTGTTCTAGGGAATTATCAGAATACCTTGGTCCATGCCCAGCCCATTTCCATTTAGTTCCTAGAATGAACCTTACTGCATCTATGATATTTGTTGTTTTTCTTATTCTGTCATTTCTCCATGTGTCTTGTGATATTATATGAAGTATTTTTCTTTTGGTAGCTCTTTGTGTGATTTCTATCTTTTTCTTTATCTCTTTTGTTAGTGACCATGTTTGGCAGCCATATGTTAAGGTTGGTAGTACACACTGATCCATGATCTTTTTCTTCAAAGTAATGGGGATATCTTGATCCTCTAGAATTTCTTTATACATTCCAAAACATTGCCATGTTGCCCTTATTCTTACTATAATTTCTTCCCTTGTTGCGTTTTCGATTTTGAGGTTTGTCCTAAATATTTGTTCTCTTATTTCTTCATTCTCAATTTTGATGGTATCTGTGTCATGATAGTTAGTCATATATTTGGTTTTTCCCTTATGTATTTTTAATTCTGCTTTCTTGTTACTGGCATTCAAACTGTTTAATAGGGCTTCCATCTTTTTCGTTGAATTTGTAAAGAGAGCTACATCATCTGCAAACCTCAGATGAAATATTTATTGAACTGTAAATGATCTTGTACTTTATTTGTAAATGTTGGAAGGTGCAGTGACAATGATGTGATACCTGTTTTAATTTTTCATTTCCCTGTCTTTTGTGTGTGTGTGTAGATGTAAATGTTGATGAACAGTTGCTATGTAAACAATTCCTGTATGATGTTCAGAAAAGTTATAAAATATGGTAGAAATATGACCTGTTTTAATAATTGTATGAGTAATTATTATGCAAGATCTTCAAAGCAGTTATTATAAGGTATAAATCTTCATGTAAAAGGAATTAACTTTTTATCTCAAAATTTCTTTTGAAGGAAAATAATACTGTCTATCATTGGGAAAATAACGTACATAAAAAAAATAATCGTTTTTGCAGAAGCATTCAACATATTAATGTCAGTCATTGTTATATTTGAAATATAATTTGAAAATATCTGAAAACTCAATTTTCTGTCATGTTAGGAACATATGAATGAAAGTAAAAAAGAAAGTATAACAATTTCAACCAAACTATATTTATATCCAGTGCCAGGGAATCCTTTTGCCCAATGCCAGGGCTCATCAGGCCAACTGGAATATGACAGACATGGTAGTGGTTGAGATTCTATTTATGTTGTCCATTTGCATGAACAACAGCTATTATGGTTTGTCATCTCATATTAAACACAATGCAATGTGTTTCTAAGGACATGTATCTGTGTGTACAAATTATATTTCTATAGTACTGTCAAAGGCATCTTTATTACACTTTTTTTTTCAGTACATGTAGACAAAATATTTCATTTTCATTCAGTGAATCTCTAAGCAATCAGTTTTCTTCTTCTTCTTGCTTTTTTTGATATATAATGCATTTCTCTTAGATTGTGTTCCATGTGAATACTGATGTCACATTTAACTATAAACTGTTAACCTAGTTGGGGTTCAGCATTGTGAATTATAGAACAAAGATGTCCTTTTCTCACTAAAGTACTCCCCCTACAAAAGGGGGGGAGATATAACATTTGCATTAGCAACAAAAAAAAAAGTGTTATTCTTTCTTCTGTCTGAAGTTTCATGTATTTTCTAGGCAATCCTATGCAGGTATAGTGAACAAAACATGAGATATATTGCAGTTCCTCTCAGCAAAGACCATTCTCCTACAGACTATGAAGAAAGAATGAGAATTCAGAAAGCTGGTGGTTATGTCAAGTAATTTTTATAACAGATTTTTACTACACCACATTTTGTTTTCATTTTGTGAAATTCACAAATACAATTATAAAACAAAAATGTTCAAACTTAAAATTCTATTGTATATTTTGGCATGTGAACTGTAAACATCACACTTCTATATGTTTTATTGTATTTTTATTTTTGCTCTTCTCTAAGCTTATATTTATTTCTCCCAGTTAAATTTTAGTATTTTCTGTTAGCTTGATATTTATGTTTTTTGTTTCTTCAGAAAGAGATTGATTTTTAATGTTCTTTAGTTAAAAATACAATAGCGTTGTGTGAAAATTAGTTGAGCATTTGAAAAGTTGAAAGTTAGTATGTTCAGTTATGTTCAACTAACAAAGCAACTTGAAGACACAACTTAAAAACTTCTGTAGTATTTAGAAGACAATTTTTCCACTATATATTCTGGCAATTTTCTTTTCATACCTGGTGTTTTTTTGTGATACTATACTGGAATGCTACAGGAATATTCTTTGCCAATATGTCATCAGATGTGTATGTTAGGTAGTACAATAGGCTATTTCTGCAATGGCAAATTAATCAAACGAGACAAATCCCTTTTTTATAACATTGAATTTGAATACACTGTTAGGTCTGTTTTACTCGACAACATACACACACAGACAATAAATTTTCAAAGTTGAGGTCATTTATCCTTGATAAATTTTTGAATCTTATCATATTTTTATGACTTATAGTGGGTCTAGTTTGGTTATCTAATAATAAAGGAAAACAAATGGTTCCTCAGTTAAGTGTTAAGGTGAAAATTTTGAATACAAAATTCTGAAAAACTGTGGGAACTGTTTAATTCTTTATGTTATGAAGTAACAACATGATTAATCTTTAGTGTCATTTCAGCCTGAAAGAAATATAAATATAAAATTCAGTTAATCTCTTACATATCCTTTTAATACTAACTAAACTTACTGCATTAATACTTAGTATTCTCAAGTAAATAATGCTAGAGTGAAACGTTAATTATCTTTTATGCAGATTACCTGATTATCTGCACAAATTATATCAATATTGTGAACTTTATTCCTATGTCAGTAAAACATGTTAGTTCAAAAATTCAATTAAAGATAAAAGTAATAAAAAAAATATAACCCCAGTGCATTTGAAAAATGGACCTTTTTTCATCAGGAAAAGTAGGGGAAATTATCAGAACTCCCAATTTTATGTGGGACTCTCAGTTTCTAAACATTAAAGGTTCCAGAACCCTAAAAAAGTTGTGGGCACCCTGAAAATAATTTTATTTTCATCCTCTATGACCAGTATTACTCTTATTATGCATACATTTAGGCATGTATGTATTGCAATCAAAAATAGATTGACATAGATAAAAAGCATAAGAATTTTTTTAATTAATCTAATTTAAGGGATTTAAAGAGAAAGAAGTTCAAACTTGCAAAATTTCATAGAAGAATCATTGAATTCTACTAATTAGCCAGTGAAATGGAATTTAATACTACATGATATATACAGATGTAAAAACAATTTTATTTCTACCATTTTGATTTAGATATTAGTAATTTGTATACACTCTGTTGTTACGTTCAAGTTGTTGATAGTTATGATGCTGTGTAATATATATTCAGGTAGATGAAATTGCTATATTTTGATGAAAAAACCTAAATCTATTTTATTTTACAGTGTGAAAATATTAGTATCATGTTTGTAAATTGTTTTTGTTTTTTTTATAAAGTATTAGCAGATTTCAAATTACAGTTAAGCTTCTCAGTGAGCTTTTAAACCAAATGAATGCCTAAATTAGTGTAATTTAAATTTAATTTCATTGCTGTAACAGGAAGCTGAATTGATTAATGCATAATACTTTATATTTAGGGATGGTAGAGTACTTGGAGTTTTGGAAGTGTCTAGATCTATAGGTGATGGTCAGTTCAAGACTACAGGAGTAATTAGTTTGCCTGATGTGAGAAGATGTCAACTTACTGACAATGACAGATTCTTGCTTTTAGCATGTGATGGCCTTTGGAAAGTATTTACATCAGATGAAGTGGTCCAGAAAATCCAGGCTAATATACATGTGAGTAAACTTGTAACGCATGTGCAATATATTAAGCTTAATATATGTAAATTTGTAGTAATACAGAGATAAACAAAGCATGAAGTTCTAGCTTCTCCATTTTTATATGACAAAAAGAATACTCTCAATGTAGTACTTGAAGTTTTGTGAAAATTAGAATTACATCAAAATTGTGAAAATAAAAAAATTAAATATTTTGTTCTGATCAAAGTAAGCTACATACATAGAACAGAACTGAGATAAACCCAGTAATCAATATACAAGTCAGTTCCTTAATTTCAAAAGAAAATATTTAAATCTCCATCTCTGCTTGTCTGTGTAATATGACATTTGTTTGCTCCAGCTTGTCCATTATCTATTTTTCATCATTACTCTATGATATACTGAGTTTAACATAAATTACTCATTATAGTATAGATATTACAAAAGTATAGTCAAATTTTTATAATCTTTAAATCTTTGTTTACGGAGATATAAACAAGAAAGTTAAACCCACTTGCCACACTGTCCTGTTAGAAGAAATTGTCTGCTTTTTGCATGTTACTATTCTATGTTCTTTGGTACATTATTTAATACACTACTGCCATTAATATAAAAAAGTAGGGTTAAGTGTCATTGATAGTCAACAGAAATAAAAAAAGAATACTTGGGTAAGTACTTTATTTGTTGTTTTTCATGTTTATTCTTTATTTATGATTATAAAAGTACCTAAAATGTAAAAATATGATCTCTTTAGGTTAGATTGGGTAAAATATATAATAATAATAATATATAAATGTTTCATAAGGCACACACACGAGCAGCTTATGGATAAGGTAATTCAGTAGCGTAATGTGAGCTCCACGTTCCCCAAGTGATTTACAACTTATAATGGCACAAACAGTAGTTAGACATGGTTAAAAGGAGCAATCAAAGGGCAATAAAACAATAAAATTTAATTATAAATAGATTTATACAGTTATGAGTTTAAAGCTATTTAGGATAAACGAATGTAGTTTCATGTTGCAATATGAAGTCATTCTAGAAAGAAAAAATGGTAATTTAGATTTATTTACAAGGTTTGTCAAATTGACCAACTGCGTATAGAGTTAGGGTAGAGTACAAAGAGGTCATGTGGTCGGTCAGATCAACCGAGCCCCTGTTGAGAAAATTAAATCTTGTAGCAGCATAATCTGTTTCTACTTAAATTTTATTGTTTTATTTTCCTTTGAACTGTGTCTAACTAATAATACCTCTACACAAGTTGTAAATCACTTGGTGAACATGTAGCTGACGTTACCTTATCGAATTACATAAGGCACAGGCTACTTGACAGCATATCTCATGAAAAAGTTTTATTATTACTTTTTTCTTTATCTTACCTAATCTAACCTTATCTAACATAACAAACAAGAAATCTAATACCAGGATCGTTTTTTTTTACTGTCAACTGTCAATAAAACTTAACCCTACTTTTTAATATTAATGGTACTATTACATTAAATATTTTTTTATTTAAATAAGTAATACACCTAAAAACAAACAATAATAACACGTAAAAAGAAGACAATATCTTATAACTATCATAATTTTTCTAGCTTTCTAACTATGCAATAAGAGCCGTTAATAATTCAGCTAAGCCCATTGATGTGTATCTTGTAGGAATAAAGTTTGAACTGGAAGCAAAATAGACAATTCTTTGTACAGATAGATTAAAACTTTGGCTTTCTATTAGTTATACATAATATAGTATTAAGTGTCAGAGAGAACTGTTAGCAATTTGTGAAAGAGAGGGTGTGATATGTAGGCATGACAAGGGGGTCTGATTTTCTAGTTTATAGCTCTGTAACCAAATAAGACTTAAAGCTATACAAATTATGCTATGCTTAAGTGATAACAATATTATAATGAGTAATTTATATTAAATTTTATTCTTCTTGGAGGGGTGGTAAATATATTAGAGAAGAGGGGATAACTAAAGAGCAAATGTCATAATTCTTATACTAGGGTGAGATTGAGGATTTTTTAAATATTTCATTATAAAAGTAAGAACTTCAAACATATAATATTACATGTTGAATTATTAACTATGTCTTTTTGCCAAGTTTAATCATATATCATGGTAATAAAATAGCTAAATTAAATTTTGAATGTAACTCTAAAAAGTCAGGACATGCACACTTTGAGAGGGTTAAAGTGCACATGTCATTACCTTTTACAGAGTTAACTTCAAAATTTAAGTAAACCATTTTATTATAATTGTATTGAGTAAATGTAACATCAAAACATTTATAAACCAAATTTTAATATTATATAAATTTTAAGTTTTTAATTTTATAAGGAAATATTTGTAAAAAATCTTGTTCTCTCCTAGTATGAAAATTGTGACATTTGTTCTTTAGATCTTCTTTCTTTAATTTATTTATCACCTATCTCTGAATTATGGAGTTTAATGTAAATTACTCATTATAATATAGATATTACTAAAGCAAAATCTAATTTTTATAGCCTTTGAATTTCTAAAAAATGGTCATTGAAAAGTCATGAAATTTCATTTCTGTATAGGTGCAGAAACTGTGGAGAGAATTAACTTGACTTGTGTATGTTTATATGTGTATATATTTATTTATTTTATATGAAATCGTATTATTCCGTGCATCAGTGTGTACTCAGTTCATCTAAACTTGGAAAAATAATAAACAATGAAAAGATCAGTATCACATACCCTTCTCTTTCATGATGTATAAACACTTAAGTTACAATATAAAACATACAGAAACTTTTTTATGTTAATGCATTATTGTGTTTTGCATGATACAAGTTTCATGTAAAATGAAAAATAGAACATTTTTGAAGAAATACCATTATAATAATAATGTACTGAGTGAATCTTGCTTTCACAATTCCACAGTGAAGTTATAGAAATAGAACATTTTGGATCAATGTCCAGAAATTATTAATTTGGATCATCAGTTAAATCACACCCCAAAAATATATAGATAACAAACTTAAAGAAAAGAGAAATATTTGGCTTTTTTTACCTAATTTTTAAACAAAAACAGTGTGAAAATTTGAAATGTTTAAAGATTATAAATTTTAAAATTCTTGATAAAAACATATTTAATTGCATCACATTATTGTGCTTTTTATATATTGTGAGCTTCAAAAATCCCCACCATGTATGAAGCCATAGATAAAGTAATTCTCCAAAGAGTACTACATTTAGTTAATCACCAGTTTTTCTATTGGCTCTGTTGTTTTTTTATTATACATTACAAGTATACCTCATTTTCATTTTATTATAATTATACTTATCTCAATAGATATTTCAACCTGATCAACTAAGAGAAATTACTATTGATGTGTATATTGACTGATGTTTTTTATTTTGAGTGCAAGTAAGCACATTGTGGATAATAATTTGTATGAAAATACATTTAATTTAGATTTTTTTTATAAAACATAAATGCTCTTTCAGTAACCAAATCTACAGCTAAAACATTAGTAAATGTTGAATGTGAGAAAAGTTACCAGCAAGTCATGTTGAAGCTTATCCTTAATTTACCCATAAAAATGTCACTTATCATGTACTGCATTCACTAAATGTTCTCATATCAATGGAAGTTGGAAGACATTGGAAGTTCATCAGTGATTGTTACAGCATCATGAACATCTTCAGGTAAGGAAGCTGGTCTTGTGAGCCTTTGTATCTTGTGCTGTTTGAGTCCCAGGCATCACACTACTGATGTTATATACAAACACCTCACTGCTCTAATGCACAACATGGGTAATACCAGTCTAGTATAGATGAGTTACTTTCACTGTAATGCTCAACCTAGAATGAGTACACCTTTTTTGAAACATGGTATGACTGAATTGTTGCATAGAGAAAATCACTTCTTTCACTACTGACCCAAAGATAATATTCTTGTATTGTACTGCCTACTTTACCTGGTGTACACAGTGTCGGTGACTGCAAAAATTATTCAGATAACTATGGAAGGTTTTAAACTGCATCACTTTCTTCAGCATTTTTCTAGATCATTGTCTTGTTTACTAAATATTGGAACTCCACAACTTATTGGAGTGTATTGGATTGTTTCAGCTGTGTTTGATATGAGCAAGTAAATAGCAGTTACAAAGAGCATTGACAATTCTCACATAATCCAATATGAAAGGAATCTGTAGACTGGTAAACACCATATCCAGTAGTTTTAACTTTTATATGTGATAATTTATTACTTCTTCCACTCAGTGCACTTTGGTGACAAGTCTTGAAAGATTGTATTTCTCTGTAATATGCTGATTACATCCCTTTTGCAGGAAAAATGGTATATGAAATTTTGCATCCAATTTATGAAAGAGATCCAATACATCCCTGAATACTTTGTGAACAAAAGCCACATTTTGTGGTTGTATTCATGTGCAAATGTTTTGAACTAATTTTAGAATATGTGATGAGTAATCTCTGCATCTATATTTTATTCTTCAGTAAAACATAGCCGACATGTATTTAACAAGTGGTTTTTCCCCATTTAACTTTACCTCTGAATTGTATATATGGCACTTTCCTGTATATTCACATGAATGCCATCTTAAAAATAGGATAACATCATCTTGTTCTCTTCTCCAGAAGATTACAATATATTAATATTTTGCAACTGATATGTTTGAATTCAAGATAAAGAGAAACATGATTCTTCATAGGAGCAGAAAAAGCTGAGTGTATTGCTCACTTTAGAGCACAAGTGTTTTCCAAACTCGGAACTGTAGTCAGAATTCTATTAGATACCCACTATGAAGTTTAATGAGGAGATTTCCCAAACAGATTTTGCATGGGTATTCCTCAAGATGGAATCCTGGAAAACAAGTCATAACTGAGACTTGGGCAGTACAGTAAGATTACCATATTTAATATCAGCTTGTGAAATCTATTGAAGTGTATTCCTCTGACATTCTTGCTGTTATATGTGTTTTCTAGAATATCACCCAAATAAATCCATTCTGTTAAACTGGTATGA